CAAAACCCAGCTGGCTATTGCATTCGACATGGCTATTAAAGGAATAATGCTGCTGATCCTCCTTACAAAGTGTCCCGAGAAATGGTTTAGCCAAATCACAGTGCCTCTTGTCACACTGAATCATGTTCAGCTGCTCTCTTCCATGACCAGATTGCTGATATTTAACTGCTTCCTTGTCTTCTCCATTCTGTGAAGGAGATTCAGTATAGGAGAGGGAAAATAGGAAAGCAAGGAGAAGCGGATTCTCTAATTTTCTGGCTGAATTTCAGTGCTTTGAAGTATGTATACAGTGCCCCATACAGCATTTATAAAAAGAGATGCATTTAATCGAGTAACTTTATTTTTAGCTGCTACAAGGAGTACTTTAAAATATATTGCAAAAGGATTTCAGGGATTCTGATAACACAGAATTGTTCACTTTAGGACTGCACTGAACCCTGCTGTGTGTAGCAACTGAAATTAATAAATAGGCCCAGATTTCAAGTAGTATTGGGAAGATGAACTGCTCTCTCTTCCTTGTTTTAGTCTTGGTAGGGATGTGACATTTCCTAAGTGGCTTTGAGAAAACTTTGCCGTCACAGTCGGCGTAGCTGGCACTGCCCCCAGGCTGAGGGGGAGCTGGGGGCACCCAGAGCAGCCCCGAGCACGGGCTCCTGCCCCGGCATGGCAGTGAGCTCTCCTCGAGCCCCGCTCCATCCCACACGGCTGGGGAGGCCAGAGGCTCCTCATCATTCCCCTGGTGCCCCAGAATCACAGATGGTTTTGTCACAGCACAGTGGGTCAGGGTCCGCCCGGCCAAGGCTCTGCTGAGGGAACGAGCTTTGCTCAAGGCCTGGCTGACGCAGCAGGGCACGGATGTCTCTGTGCAACACAGGGGCTTCTTTCTGGGCCTGTAAAGCTCTTGCTGATGCCCAGAGTGAGCCAAATTGCAGTTATTAGACCAAAATAAGAATTACATGTATTTATTTTGCAGCAAGTAAATTGTAATTTAGTGTTAGTTTGCAGTAACAGTCAAGTTTACTCCTTAAAAAACAGTACAAATCATGTGTTTAACTCATCAAAACATTTCAGCATGGGGATAATTTGGACTGTAAACTCCACTTGAAAGTAGCAATTGCTTGAATGTTTCCTTCTCTTACTCCCCTGTCATGGCTAAAACAGTCTTTGGCTCGTTTATCCAACTTGTCTGCTACTTCTCAAAATAAAACAAGATGTGAAGACAAACAGACACTAACCCATTCAGTGCAGAAAATTTTCAGTGCAGTGCCATCAATTAAAAATGTATAATGCATTTGAAACTGGCAAAATAATTCAAGAAATGTGTTCCAGGTATGAAGAGTCTGTTATCAAGGACTCTCTGTGCAGTTACAAATTCTGTGGTTTTGGAAGAGGTGAAACCATCTGTGGTGTTTGTAGTTGTGTGCTCTAAAGTTTACCAGGGACAGCAGTAAGCCCAGATGGGAGCATGCTTTTTCCCAGTGCAGCTGATTTTTCCAGTTCGTTATATTGATTGATTTGCCAGTTTGTTATATTGATTTCCAAAACGTGCAGAAGTAAAGATCTTTCTTTGGTATGTTTTAAAATGTTAAAAAATTCTTTTCCAATGAGTGATTCCTTCTGGAGCAAGAGCAGAGGATGAGGAGGGTGAATGTGTTCTTCCACCCTTTTCAAAATGAAGATTTCTCTTTCTGGAACAGAAGGGCTGTCTGTCATCTGTTGGAAAAGGTTCCTGTTTCATTTGCATTTGAGTTTTGGGTCCACTCTGAACCCCTGTCCCCTCCTGATGGCCTTGCACAGGTCACAAGAAGCAGCATGGCCATTGAAGGCATTGATGACTTGTGTGTGCTGGCATGTGGAATTGTGCAAGGGAAATGCCTGTGCCCTCTGTGCAGTCATGAATAACTGAGTCACCTGTTTTGTCATAAGCTATCTAAAGTTGTACAGGAATAGAGCCTTCAGGTGTGCTGAAACCCTTTGGGACGAGCTGGTAAAAGTTGTTAAAGGAAATGGCACTGGGTCCTCCCACTAAAACCATTGGATTTATACTGGTGACACGGGCTGGCTGCTTTCTTGTTATATGGTTCAGATTTATCACTTCATTGAGTGATTCATGGTGGCAGTTTTAAAGGACTATTTGATTCGTGGTTAAAGGAAGGATATTTTTTAGAAACAAAAAGCAAAGGAGAATGGCATCGATTTGGAAGCCTTCCTAGTTTTTCTGCAAGCACTCATTCTTTTTTTAAAACTTTGTCTTCTGAATTCTCAGTGGCCTGTGCACATGTTGATCTGTACATTTGTATGGCTTAGAACATGGAAACGCAAGGAACAGAGGACTTTTGTTTGGCTCTCAGCCCAGTCCTAGTGCCTTGCCTGTGTCCCTGGCCAGAGTGGCTGTGTCTGCAGTGCCCCATTCCTGTCCTAGTGCCCTCGGTGACAGGCAGCTTTTCTGCATGCTCCCAGGGGAGGGGACATTGCTGTACTCCTCTTTATTGCCATCTCCTTTGCAGGCTTGAGGTCGGGCTCTGAAAGCACAGTCAGGAAAACTGGTTCTTGTGCCATTGATTCAGGGCAGTTTTAGGTACCAGGAGGCATTTCAGCACAAAGATATCAGAGTTCCAAACTGCTGAAAGAGGTCTAAGATTTGGGAACTCTTGAATTAACAGTAAGTTCCACTTCTATTAATAGTAAGTAATGGCAAGGACATTAGGTTGCATGCATGTATTAAGTTGAGTCGCTTAAAGGAATTTTCATTGTTGGGCACCCCACATCACTTAGTAAGTACATAAATGTGTGCATCCTTTGCTGTGCCACCATTGCGAATTTTCTTGTACACCTGAATTAATTTCACCACCTGTGGAAAGAGATGTGTCAGAAGCCACTTGGAGCATCATTCTGAAGTAACGTTTGGACTCTAACATGAGAACTCTTTCTAAAATGTCTGACAAGATAAGCTACTAGGGGAGAAACTGGACAAAAATTATCAGTGTAGAGCTGACAATGATTTGTATACAAATCGCATTTTAATCAGGTAATATGCAGGACTACAAAATGGCTGAGTTTTCATTAATTGATCAGAAGAAGACTAATTTGCTGTTTCAGTCATCAGTTTGGAGACATTTTCACAGACTATTTTTTTAATAGTCTATTTATTTGGAAAATCTGTCTTTGCATAATTCAATCACAGGCATGGTACTCATAATCCAAATTTGTTTCAAGAGGCCTTCAGTGGACCTTGATGTCATTCCTGCAATATCTGTCATTCCTCTGTCAGCAGTAAATGGCAATGAGCAGAGCCAAAGCTGATCCTTGAATCAGGACAGTTGGCAAAGCGAAGTCTTGTTCTGATGTGTAAGTTGTTGATGTGATTTTGCAATGATAGTGTTAGCAAACTGTGGCAATGTAAATGGTTTAACTTCTAGCAAACTGTGGCAATGTAAATGGCTTAACTTTTAAGTTCTCATTTTCCTTCAATTTTCCATGAGGACACTAATCAAACTAATGTTTTGTGCAGGTCAGGAGTGACAGGTTTTTCTCAGGGCTTGCTGGGAGCTGACAGTGGGCAGTATTTATTAACAGTGCCTGCAATAATCTGTCAGCTAAATGGAGGATTGGAGATTTTCATAGCGGAAACAGATAAGTCTTTGCAAGAGATTTTCCTCAAATGATCAGTGTCTTAGGCCCAATGCACATAATTTTTTCCATAGAATAATATTCCTTATGTAATAGATTACTGTTGATGAAAACTGTGAGATGTTTTCAGAGGAGAAGCAGTATCTCCTTGCAGATCCAATGTTGCATCTTTCCTTATGGCTTTGAGAATAAATGGGTGTAGTGCATTAGAACTTGTGAAGCCATGTGAAACAATTGCCTCCTGAGCAGCCTGCTGGACAGTGCTTCACCTGCCCATGGGGCCCTGCCAGGTTCACCTGGAGTTTGTGACAGTAATGCTTACGTGTTGGGGTATTCCCAGAACGTTCACAGGGCATTGCCTGCATTCCTTCCTCAGTTCTGTCACCTTGCACACCCAGGGGTGTTCTGTGTTCTGGGCATTTTGTCTGTATAAATTCTTGGTGGCTGTGGCAGTTGAGTTTTGGGTGTCTCATGCCTTCCTCAGCCACTGATAGGAGATGAATTGCATTGATTCCTGGTTTGAAAATAAGTGTGACTTGGTGGATTACTAAATGCCAAGATCTCTAGAAGCTGTAAAATTGTGTATTGTTGAGAGTACCTTACAACTGTTGCTAATGATAGATTAGCTAATCATATTACAGCTTTTAATAATATGAGATTTGAAAGATGGATAGTAATGCCATATCTCCCTGGGTAGGACTGAGCAAAGGCTTGAGGAAAAGTCAATCTTCACAGCTGGAGCAATTACTTGTTGGGTGTTAGCTACAGCCTCAGCAGAAATGTGCTGTGAACAACAGAGAGCTGCCTTGAGAGAGCTGTGGCTGCTCTGGGAACCTCAGGGATGCTCAGTCTGTCAGATGGGATGATTGATGTCCAGCCCTGTCACTTCTTGTGTTGTTCACAAAGTACTTCAAAACACAGGTGACATTGCTTATATATCAGTAAGCTCAAACGTACTCTGACCTCGCTGCTAATTCAGCATTCCTAATTCTTACCTGCGCAGACCAAAGCCATATCCCTAAACTTTCCAAGGTGTGAAGGACCTCCATGAGACCCTCAAGATTTCCATTGTCCCCAAATGCCACTTCTGCAAGATTTGTATGAACTGTTGCTTTCCCCAGCTTGCTCTGTCAGCCAGGCATGGGAAATTAGATGCACTGTTGTACAGGAGCTGGAGATAAAATTGCCTATGCAAAGAAAATCAACTGAAAAATATGGTTAATATATTGGTCCAGTATAAACTGGTAGTTTTGATGGTTCCAATAATTATTTCTGAGACTGTACTAAAGGATAACATGTGTGTCCTTGTATATTCTTGCATGTTTGTAAAGCCACATGACGGGTTTGTTCTGTTTTTATTTTTTTTCCAGAATTATCGATCAGCGATTTGAGAAAGTTTCATATTTTGTCTTTGGAGATTTCAACTTCAGACTGGATGCCAAAGCAGTAGTAGAGGTAGGACTTCTCTTTTTCTTCTGTTGTAGACCCTACCAGGTTGGATTTATCTTTTTTTTTTTCCTGCAGAAAACCTAAAGGTGACTTGACAAAGTAATGTTAATATTGACATCAGATTTGCCCAACACTGCTTCTAACAGGAACACCCAGCAAGTAACTAACATTGTGTGGTTGTGACTCTTGCCATCCCCTTATAGCTTGCAGTGAATCAGAATAATTGCCTGCAGACAGAGGAAGTGCTGCATTACCTTCCTGCTCTGAGGAAAAACAAGAGGCATTTCCTCAATGTCTGTGGTAGAACTCCACACCTTAAAAGTACAGGCAGTCATCAGTACAGACCTTTGTGCCTGTAGCATCTTGATGTGGAAGGGTGACTAGGAGATTTGCATAAAGTGAAAATAACTTACTCAACTTTTTTCATTATAAGTTGAGATAACCTTGACCTGAATGCTGAAGCTCCAGGTAAGGTGGTGTAAAAAAAAAAGAAAACCCAGATTGAAAAGGATATTTAATCTTACGGTTTTCACACTTTAATTCTCTGAGGTACTGCAATGTGGTTTTGGTGTCCTTGAGGGTGGGCATGCATCTTTTGAGCCAAAAGTTTTTATTTTGTAAATCTAACTGTGGGAAATGTCCTGTGTGCCAAAGGCTGGCATCCCCCCATTCAGGTGCAGTGCTGTTCTCCTTCCTTGCATGATCAGTAGTCCGTCTGTTGAAAAACTGGAGTTTGATGTTACAGCATTTCATATGGAACTAATAACAACTTCTTGGAATCCTTTCTGTAGTGCAGTCAGCCAGCCAAGAAGCTTAAAGCATAGTTGAAATGAAAGTCAAGTCACCAGTTCAGAACATGCAGCTTCACACTGCATATGCAAAGGGTCACAACCTGCTCTGCTGCCCTGTGGCTGCCGTAGCTCTCATCAATGTTCAGAGATCACTTGTTGGTGATCACTTCAGAGAACTGTTACCCGTTTTCTCTTCACTAGTGGTGTGCTGGTGTTGCTGAGGATGCTGCTGTCTGAAACCCCTGTCAGTCACACTGCAGCAGAGTCACCCCTGCACTCAGTGCTGATGAGGGTGCTCCAAGCTTTTCCTGACTCACATACTGCCAGCAGGCTGCAGGACTGAAACTGCACAGGCTGTTTGCTTTCGTACCAATAGATTAAGATTTCTATGTTTATATCTGTCAGTTTCAAAATCATCCCCATCAAACAAAATAGTATCACTAGCCCCAAATGATGGAAAGTGAGTGAGCTGCAGAGCAAGTAGGGTGAGCCCAGAGGTTTCTGAGCCTGACACAGTACTCTGCATATTGGGAGTGTTTTACCCCTACTGGTTTACGTTGCTGCGTGTGAGCACAAAAGGTGTAATTGGAAGATGAATCAAATTCATTTTCACATTCTTCCTACCTAAGATGCAAGCCTGTGTGAGTCTACAAAGCATTAGAATTATACAGATTTTCTGTTGGGTTTTTTTTTGAGAAGTAGCATACCCCAGTAATCAGAACTTCACCCAGCTACTCTGCAATGTTAATTAAGCGTAATTGAAGCTGATTCAGAAACTTCCAGTTTATACATGGACAGCTAAAGTCACAGTAAGTTTGTTTTGTAGTGTTTTGTACTTGGTGTAGTTTATAAATCTGTATGTCAGCAGACCCCAGAGCTGCAAGAAACAGTCGTCTGATGTGTCTGGGACTGCCGCTGGACAGTCCTGAGGGAGTTAATAGCCAGAGTACAGCACTGGCAGTAAGGGCTGGCTCCTCGGTGACAGATCCATTCCCAAAGTGTCATTTGGAAGGACAGAGCTATTGGCCACCTCCAGAGGGAATTGCACTAGGTAGGACTCGGGGTGTGATTGTGCTTGAGATCAGGCCCAAATCCCCTCCCGGAGCAGCTGTGAAGGGTGTGACCCACGTGCTGTGAGCATGGCCATGTGCAGCTGGCAGAGCAGGAGCAGGCAGGGGTGCTGCTGTCCCAGACGCTCAGTGCCAGCCCCAGGGAGAGCCTTGCTCAGCTGGAGCCCCCCACTCCAGGGGCTGTCCCGGTCCCTTCTGCTGTTAACCATGTGCCCATGCAAATGGATATTCACTGCTCTTGGACCGTTCAGCAGCGGTGTTCATACTGGGAATTGTAAGGGTTAATCCATTGACCTGTCATCTTTGTGTACGTTACTAAATTTATCTCTGCTTTTCTTGCTGACCTTTTGAATTCCCTCTTGAGACCACAGCTGCTGAACGTTTGAACACTGAGATGCTACAAGCAATACTTGTGTAAATGCAGACTGTGCTTACATCAAACATAAAGAATAAAGTGTGTTGGTAAATAACTTCCCAGTTAACCCATTTAAAGGGAGAATCTGAGAGCTGTTCAGAATGTAGAGTCCAGATCCTGATGTGCAGTGTCCTGAATCAGATGCAAAAGATGTTGTGTATATTAATTCATAATTAATAGACTATAAATCATTAATATGTAATTTATCGAACACTTATGGGAGCCCTAATTTAAAGTCACATTGATTTCCTTGCTAGGAAAATCTGCTTTGCTGTGTTGGAGCCGTGAGGGGGAGGTGGTGGCTGGCACGTGGGCAGTGCCAGGCGCTGTTGCTGAGGCAGCCCCAGTGAATTTTCCAGGTGTGTTTGCTGGGCAGTTCACTGGGGCAGGTCCCACCAGGGCTGTGCAGCCCAGCGGGGCCAGGCTCTCGCTTTGAGGAGGGTGAATGCCACTGCTTTATCACTGTAGAACATCTAGAAGATCTTCCATAAGAGTCCTGCCTTCTGAAGGACAGCACCCTGCTCCAGCCAGCAAAAATAACCCTTGTACTTACAGAATGTGTGTAGTAAGGCAGTAACTGCAGAAGAAAGATCTGCATTTCCTTGGGTTTTGGTCACTCTGAGATGTGCTGCAAGACCTGAATCTTCTGTCTGACAGCCTGACAGCCAGGTAAATTCACTTAATCTTATATTGGCAAAGCTGGCTGAGGATTTGCTGATGTTTAACTTCAAAGTTTTGCCTACTGAATTTTTTTTTAAATACTAGACTTTTTTGGGTGTTACAACATTCTGATTATTTGCCCACTGCTTTCAGATACCTTCCAGCACCTCTATTCCCAGCACATATGGAAGTGTTTGCGACATAATATAAAAAAAATATTAAAAATATTAACATATTAAAAATTCACAAATTCAAGCGTGCCCAGGCGCTGTGCTGGATCTTGGAACTGCTTCTCTCCTGTCCCCTGCCCCAGCCCAAAGCGTCTCAGCTCCCAGCTGTGGCTGTGCTTGTCCAGAGGAGTATTTCTCCTTCTGTCTGTGGGCCAGTTTACCACTCTTGCTCTGTTTTAGTTACCATTCAAGTGTTTTAGGTGGGTCTAGACCAAGGAAAAGTATTTTTTCAGTCAGCTGGTCATAGTAACAATCTGTATTAATCTCTGAGAATTACTTTATTTTAATATTTAAAGAAGTTATTCGTTGAATCTCCATACTAGAAGTCTTCCTCATGCAATATGTTCATTTTAGGAAGGTATAAACAGGCTTAAGAAACTGAGCTTATTTTGACTGTTTTGGGAGTAAAACCCTCTTTCTGAGACTGCTGATTCAGGAGTCTCTTAGAAAAGTACCTTGTAGTTCCAAGAAAGAATTTAAAATTGTGTGCTCCTCAGTCCCAAGAATGGCAGCTCAGTAACGAGTTCAGTTTGTCAGGCTTTAGGAGAAAGTCACATTAATCACAAAATCCATTTGCTCAAGGTAAGCCATAGCCTTGCCTTGTATCCAGGAAAAAATGGGAAAAAACCTTTTTTTTTCATTACTAAAGCCTTGTTAGGGTTGGTGGCAGCTTGGTAAGCTGGAGAGGGATTAAGTGTATCATATATGAAAATTTATAAAGGTAACAATAGAAGTGGTGTTTCAGGATTCCAGACATTTTGGCCTACAAAAAGCTTTCAAGCTCTGCCTGCAGAAAAAAAAAGTTATGTCCCCGTGTCTGCTCACTCTGTATGCTCTGTGGGTTACAGTCAATCAGAATATTTCCTTTCTAGACTTCTGCCAAGCAGCCCTTTGATAAGCCAGGACTGGAATTGCTGATTAAATGTTTTTTAAAAGCTAATAACTGCTCGTAAGAATTTACATGTCTGACTCCATCATTCACTTGCAGTGTGCCTCTCTGCCACCTCTGACCATGTGATTTTATATTATCTGATAAAACAGGAACGACTTCATTCTGGCATGACTTTTTAGCTGCCGCTGTATTGCTGATGCCGCAGTGAATCACGTAATTTCCATTTGATCACGCTGTCTTGGCACAATGTGGTCTGTAATTCTGAGCAAGCCAGTGGGGGCATGGTGTCCCTTTGTGCAGCGTGCTCGTGCCAGCAGAACTTGGGGAGCACTCTGGCACTGCCACCGCGTGTGCCTGCAGAATGGGGACCTCTCCTCTGAGACCTCACTCGCTCTCTGTTGAACAAACATCTCTTGTTCAAAATAAAACCTGATTAACACCTTTTCACCTCTGAATAATTGATTTAGATCTTACTCAAATCTGAAGAAATATTTTAATTTGAAATATTTGAAATTGTTTCATCCCATGCATTGGACACTAACAAGGATCCTTGCAAACTCCAGCCAACAAATGACCCATTAGTAATTGTCATGAAAAAGATTAATAGTTAATTAGACAATTATCACTGATTTGAAAAGCTGATTCAAGTGAGATAGTCAGGTGATGGATGGATGTGAAGACTTAATTATCTCCTCCTTGGTACAGATGTGCTTCCCTGGACAGAAACAGGTCACCTGTCAGGATGAGGCTCTTGCTGTCCTCATGCATTCAGGAGACACCACCAACCACCACCTGGCTGTCTGGTCAGGTGCAAATATTTGTGTGTGTACATGTGTGCATATATTTTTTAGTCTAAGTAATATCTGCAGAAGATGTTTTGAATGCATCAGGAAAAGAGCACGAAAGAATTGCACAGTCTTGTTGTTACAAAGACAGCAATATTTTATT